ATATATTTCTAATTGTAGATTTATGTATCCGGAGCACCTCCACATGTCGTGGATAATTTAGCATTATCTTCCCTATTAATCACCATTCTTGGTGATAAAAGCACTTGTTAAGGGGTTTTGGTGCTATACTTTCCGCTGTAATACTGGACTGATCATCTTGTTCATCCCCCTGGGATTATGAGCCACTATTTCTGGCTCAAATGCACCTTTCAGTGCGCCCTGACAGCTGTATGTAATGCATCTCAGCTGACAGTTTCTATATCCACAGCAAAATGGCGCCTAGGCGTGCGCGCATGCGCAGTTGCCCGGTCCACTCAAAAATGGCGGCGAGTTTGTGCGACTCCCGTTTTTTGTTATGAATCTGGCGTCTGTCACAAAGCTGTCAGCCTCCCCTCTGAAGATGTGCCTTAGCACGAAAGGCCTCAGGAGGAACTGACAGCTTGTGACGCCTCATCGCCGCCCAGACCACGAGGAGGTCTGGCGGCCATTTTACTTTAGGTCAGTATCAGAGTCTTTTACCTTGCACTTTCTGTTTTTTTGCCAGTTTCAACACTGACCTGTCCTGTACTAAATTTGTTACTAATAAAAGTTTTGACATACTACACTATGGGCATTTTCCCATTTTTTACCCCTCATTGCAGACACAGCTACACCTGGAGGAGGAAGCCCTCACCTGGCCGCTTTAATCCTGATCCTAAGGAGGTCCTGTGAGCCTAGCAGATTACCGCCTGATGACACCCCGTCCTGAGGGAGTTCGATACCTGTGATTTAAACACACAAATGCGCATTCCCTATGCGCGGTCGGTGAGTGCGCATTTCTGTCATTTCCACTGGATCCTTCTAGCTGTGTATACCATTGTATTGATTGAGATATCTCACGAACTTTTGGCAACGAATTTTTAAGAACGAACTTTTTGATATGCTTTAGCGCTGCACTTTATTTATCTAGACAGTGATCCTGTTGATGGGTTAAGGACGTTCTACAGCCCTGTCCAACTCTCCTAGAGTAATTGCCTGTCTCCTGGAATCTCCTCCATACTCTTGAGACTGTGCTGGGAGACACAGCAAACCTTCTGGCAATGGCACGTATTGATGTGCCATCCTGGAGGATTTGGACTGCCTGTGCAACCTCTGTAGGGTCCAGGTATCGTCTCATGCTACCAGACACTGGGGGTTGTCTCATTGTTGCCCATCTAGTGCACCTGTTGTTAATTTTATTAACACCAAAGCAGCTGAATTTGATTAACAACCCCTCTGCTACTTAACTGACCAGATTAAATATCCCAGGAGTTTCATTGACTTGATGCTATATCTCTGATTTAAAAAGTGTTCCTTTAATTTTTTTGAGCAGTGTACATTGTCCTTGATTCATAAAATCTGCATAAACACTTAGGCCTGGTTCACATTGCTGAGCTCAGTGCAAATCGTTTTCAGTGTCTGATGACGAATTTGCCACGAATCAACACTTTCTGCAGTGTTTGCTATCTGTTCTCTAGTGAAAAACATAAAGGAACATGTCCTTTGCACCTGACCCATTTCCAGGCAAATGGACAGGCAGTGAGTTTCTGCACTAATAGAAGTGAAAAAAGCATGTTTTACTAGTAAAAAAAAAAAAAAAAAATGTTTAAAGTTGGACTGTACGTGGTCATAAGGCTGCAAAATGCAAAGTAAGCACTAGGGAAAAATGCATAGAAGTGAAGAACAGATGCCGGATAAGGCGCATTTACCGAGTGTAGCTCGGGGTTAAGCTTTTCATGGTACTGAAATGTTACCCCGAGCTACACTCGGGAATAGGACCGCTTTAGGTTAATTTTACAGATTAATATCCCAAGTTTTTTTTTCCAAAATAATCTTTATAATGATATACAGTTTTCATTTTGATGATAGAACTCCAAAGTATACAACTTTAGATTTAATTTGTTCGCTCTTCTACCACTGCATGTGTTCATCTTCACTTTGCTCCAGCACCATTCACATGCGGTTGCAGAAAAGAGAAGAAGCTTTGTGGAGCTCCAAGTCACTCTGGTCAGAGCCTACCCATGGCTAAAGACTTTCCAAAACACTAGAAGTGAACATGGTCCTATAAGAAACCATCTTAAATGGACTGTAGTGAGTTTCTGCAAAATGCAAAAAGCACTAGAAAAAATGCATAGAAGTTGACCAGGCCATAAGGCAAGCTAAAAGTTAATGGTGTAAGAGTGGAATAGGAGCTTTATCATGGATTTTACATTAAATAAGTTTTTTTTCCAAAATAATCTTTATAATGATATACAGTTTTCATTTTGTGATAGAACTCCAAAGTAACATTTGTTCGTCTTCTCTGCATGTGTTCATCTTCACTTTGTCCAGCACCATTCACATGTGGGCAAAGATAGGATCTGCCTTAAAAGGTCCTGCACATACTGCCTACTGTCATAGCCCCTCCACAGTTGCTCAAGTCTCTCTGTAGGCTGCAGTCATTCTGGTACAAGTCATAGGATCTAACCTTCCTGCACATACTCCTCCTGCACATACTGCCTACTGTCATATACCCTCCACACTCCTCTCCTGCACATTCCTGCTGCACATTCTGCTCATTGTCATACCCTCCACACTCCTCTCCTGCATATACTGCCTAATGTCACCCTCCACACTCATCTCCTGCATATACTACTGTCTACTGTCATACCCTCCACACTCATCTTTTGCATATACTACTGTCTACTGTCATACCCTCCACACTCCTCTCCTCCATATACTGCCTAATGTCATGCCCTCCACACTTCTCTCCTGCATATACTGCGTACTGTCGTACCCTCCACACTCCTCTCCTGCATATACTGCATACTATTGTACCCTCCACACTCCTCTCCTGCACATACTGCCACTGTCATACCCTCCACACTCCTCTCCTGCACATACCTCCACACTCCTCTCCTGCACATACTGCCACTGTCATACCTCCGCACTCCTCTCCTGCACATACTGCCACTGTCGTACCCTCCACACTCCTCTCCTGCGCATACCGAATCATGTCATACCTCCACACTCCTCTCTCCTACACATACTGCCTACTGTCATACCCTCCACACTTCTCTCCTACACATACTGCCTACTGTCCTACCTCCACACTCCTCTCCTGCACATACCGATCACTGTCATACCTCCACAATCCTCTCCAGCACATACTGCGACTGTCATACCCTCCACACTCATCTTCTGCATATATTGCCTACCAGGGGCGGACTGACAAACTAATGGGGCCCCCCCCCGGGCAATAGGGGATCATGGGGGCCCCTGTGTCCTTGCCCAAACTCAAAAAAGCCTATGAAAAGGTACAAAGGGCATCTCATGGGGCCGCCCCACTGACCCTGGGCCCTCGGGTAGTGCCGAGTTTCCAAATGGTCAGTCCCGCCCCTGCTGCCTACTGTCATACCTCCACACTCCTCTCCTGCACATACTGCCACTGTCATACCCTCCACACTCCTCTCTCCTACACATGCTGCCTACTATCATTACCCTCCACACTCCTCTCCTACACATGCTGCCTACTGTAAAACCCTCCACACTCCTCTCCTGCACTACTGCCACTGACATACCCTCCACATCCTCTCCTACACATGCTGCCACTGACATACCCTCCCACACTCCTCTCCTACACATGCTGCCTACTGTAATACCCTCCCACACTCCTCTCCTGAACATACTGCCACTGACATACCTCCACACTCCTCTCCTGCACATGCTGCCTACTATGATACCCTCCACACTCCTCTCCTGCACATTGTGCCTACTATCATACCCTCCACACTCCTCTCCTGCACATACTACCACTGACATACCCTCCACATCTCCTCTCCTACACATGCTGCCTACTGTAATACCCTCCATACTCCTCTCCTGCACTTACTGCCACTGACATACCCTCCCACACTCCTCTCCTGCACATGCTGCCTACTATCATACCCTCCACACTCCTCTCCTGCATCATGCTGCCTCTTTCATACCTCCACACTCCTCTCCTGCACATACCGATCACTGTCATTACCCTCCACACTCACTTCCTCTCCCTGCACATACTGCACACTGACATTACCCTCCACACTCCTCTCCTGCACATGCTACCTACTCTTTCATACCTCCACAACTACTCTCCTGCACATACTGCCACTGTCATACCCTCCACACTCATCTTCTGCATATTTGCCCTACCAGGGGCGGGACTGACAACTAATGGGCCCCCGGGCAATAGGGGATCATGGGGCCCCTGTGTCCTTGCCCAAACTCAAAAAGCCTATGAAAAAGGTTACCAAGGGCATCTCATGGGGCCGCCCACTGACCTGGGCCCTCGGGTAGTGCCAGTGCCCGAGTTTCCAAATGGTCAGTCCGCCCCTGCTGCCTACTGTCATACCCTCCACACTCCTCTCCTGCACATACTGCCACTGTCATACCCTCCACACTTCCTCTCCTATCGACACATGCTGCCTACTATCATACCTCCACACTCCTCTCTCTACACATGCTGCCCTACTGTAAAACCCTCCACACTCCTCTCCTGCACATACTGCCACTGGACATGAAACCCTCCACACTCCTTCTCCTACACATGCTGCCACTGACATACCCCTCCACAACTCCTCTCCTACACATGCTGCCTACTGTAATTACCCTCCACAATCCTCTCCTGCACATAATGCCACTGACATACCCTCCACATCCTCTCCTGCACATGCTGCCTACTATGATTACCCTCCACACTCCTCTCCTGCACATGCTGCCTACTATCATACCCTCCACACTCCTCTCCTGCACATACTACCACTGACATACCCTCCACACTCCTCTCCTACACATGCTGCACCTACTGTAATACCCTCCATACTCCTCTCCTGCACATACTGCCACTGACATTCCCTCCACACTCCTCTCCTGCACATGCTGCCTACTATACATACCCTCCACACTCCTCTCCTGCACATGCTGCCTACTATCATACCCTCCACACTCCTCTCCTGCACATACCGATCACTGTCATACCCTCCACACTCCTCTCCTGCACATACTGCCACTGACATACCCTCCACACTCCTCTCCTGCACATGCTACCTACTATCATACCCTCCACACTCCCTCTACCTGCACATACTGCAACTGTCATACCCTCCACAATCCTCTCCAGCACATACTGCGACTGTCATACCTCCACACTCATCTCTTCTGCATATATTGCCTACCAGGGGCGGGACTGACAACTAATGGGGCCCCCGGGCAATAGGGGGGATCATGGGCCCCTGTGTTGTCCTTGCCCAAACTCAAAAAAGCCTATGAAAAAGGTACCAAGGGCATCTCATGGGGGGCCGCCCACTGACGACCCTGGGCCCTCGGGTAGTGTTTTTCCCCCCGAGTTTTCCAAATGGTCATTGGTCAGTCCGCCCCTGCTGCCTACTGTCATACCCTCCACACTCCTCTCCTGCACATACTGCCACTGTCATACCCTCCACACTCCTCTCCTACACATGCTGCCTACTATCATACCTCCACACTCCTCTCCTACACATGCTGCCTACTGTAAAACCCTCCACACTCCCTCTCCTGCACATACTGCCACTGACATACCCTCCACAACTCCTCTCCTACACATGCTGCCCCACTGACATACCCTCCACACTCCTCTCCTACACATGCTGCCTACTGTAATACCCTCCACACTCCTCTCCTGCACATACTGCCACTGACATACCCTCCACACTCCTCTCCTGCACATGCTGCCTACTATCATACCCTCCACACTCCTCTCCTGCACATACTACCACTGACATACCTCCACACTCCCTCCCCTGCACATACCGATCACTGTCATCATACCCTCCCAACTCCTCTCCTACACATGCTGCCACTACTATCATACCACCTCACACTCCTCTCCTACACATGCTGCCTACTGTAAAACCCTCCACACTCCTCTCCTGCACATACTGCCACTGACATACCCTCCACACTCCTCTCCTACACATGCTGGCCACTGACATACCCTCCCACACTCCTCTCCTACACATGCTGCCTACTGTAATACCCTCCACACTCTCTCCTGCACATAATGCCACTGACATACCCTCCACACTCCTCTCCTGCACATGCTGCCTACTATCATACCCTCCACACTCCTCTCTGCAACATGCTGCTACTATCATACCCTCCACACTCCTCCCTGCACATACCGATCACTGTCATACCTCCACACTCCTCTCCTGCACATACTGCCACTGACATACCCTCCACACTCCTCTCCTGCACATGCTTACCTACTATCATACCCTCCACACTCCTCTCCTGCACATACTGCCACTGACATACCCTCCACACTCCTCTCCTACACATGCTGCCTACTGTAATACCCTCCATACGCCCTCTCCTGCACATACTGCCACTGACATACCCTCCACACTCCTCTCCTGCACATGCTGCCTACTATCATACCCTCCACACTCCTCTCCTGCACATACTGCCACTGTCATACCCTCCACACTCCTCTCCTGCACATACTGCCACTGTCATACCCTCCACACTCCTCTCCTGCACATTACTGCCTACTGTCGTACCCTCCACCACTCCTCTCCTGCGTATACCGATCACTGTCATACCCTCCACATACTGCCTACTGTCAAACCCTCCACACTCCTCTCCTGCACATACTGCCACTGTCAAACCCTCCACACTCCTCTCCTGCCTACTGCCACTGTGTCATACCCTCCGCACTCCTTCCTGCACATACTGCCACTGTCGTACCCTCCACATCCTCTCCTGCGCATTACCGATCACTGTCATACCCTCCACACATCCTCTCCTACACATACTGCCTACTGTCATACCCTCCACACTCCTCTCCTACACATACTGCCTACTGTCCTACCCTCCACACTCCTCTCCTGCACATACGATCACTGTCATACCCTCCACAATCCTCTCCAGCACATACTGCGACTGTCATACCCTCCACACTCATCTTCTGCATATATTGCCTACCAGGGGCGGACTGACAACTAATGTTTTTTAATGGGGTCCCCCCCGGGCAATAGGGGATCATGGGGCCCCTTGTCCTTGCCCAAACTCAACAAAAAGCCTATGAAAAAGGTACCAAGGGCATCTCATGGGGCCGCCCACTGACCCTGGGCCCTCGGGTAGTGCCCGAGTTTCCAAATGGTCAGTCCGCCCCTGCTGCCTACTGTCATACCCTCCACACTCCTCTCCTGCACATACTGCCACTGTCATACCCTCCACACTCCTCTCCTACACATGCTGCCTACTATCATACCCCCACACTCCTCTCCTACACATGCTGCCTACTGTAAAAAACCCTCCCACACTCCTCTCCTGCACATACTGCCACTGACATACCCTCCACACTCCTCTCCTACACATGCTGCCACTGACCATACCCTCCACACTCCTCTCCTACACATGCTGCCTACTGTAATACCCTCCACACTCCTCTCCTGCACATACTGCCACTGACATACCCTCCACACTCCTCTCCTGCACATGCTGCCTACTATCATACCCTCCACACTCCTCTCCTGCACATACTACCACTGACATACCCTCCACACTCCTCTCCTACACATGCTGCCTACTGTAATACCCTCCATACTCCTCTCCTGCACATACTGCCACTGACATACCCTCCACACTCCTCTCCTGCACATGCTGCCTACTATCATACCCTCCACACTCCTCTCCTGCACATGCTGCCTACTATCATACCCTCCACACTCCTCTCCTGCACATACCGATCACTGTCATACCCTCCACACTCCTCTCCTGCACATACTGCCACTGACATACCCTCCACACTCCTCTCTGCACATGCTACCTACTATCATACCCTCCACACTCCTCTCCTGCACATACTGCCACTGACATACCCTCCACACTCCTCTCCTACACATGCTGCCTACTGTAATACCCTCCATACGCCTCTCCTGCACATACTGCCACTGACATACTCTCCACACTCCTCTCCTGCACATGCTGCCTACTATCATACCCTCCACACTCCTCTCCTGCACATACTGCCACTGTCATACCCTCCACACTCCTCTCCTGCACATACTGCCACTGTCATACCCTCCACACTCCTCTCCTGCACATACTGCCTACTGTCGTAACCTCCACACTCCTCTCCTGCGTATACCGATCACTGTCATACCCTCCACATACTGCCTACTGTCAAACCCTCCACACTCCTCTCTGCACATACTGCCACTGTCAAACCCTCCACACTCCTCTCCTGCACATACTGCCACTGTCATACCCTCCGCACTCCTCTCCTGCACATACTGCCACTGTCGTACCCTCCACACTCCTCTCCTGCGCATACCGATCACTGTCATACCCTCCACACTCCTCTCCTACACATACTGCCTACTGTCATACCCTCCACACTCCTCTCCTACACATACTGCCTACTGTCCTACCCTCCACACTCCTCTCCTGCACATACCGATCACTGTCATACCCTCCACAATCCTCTCCAGCACATACTGCGACTGTCATACCCTCCACACTCATCTTCTGCATATATTGCCTACCAGGGGCGGACTGACAACTAATGGGCTCCCGGGCAATAGGGGATCATGGGGCCCCTGTGTCCTTGCCCAAACTCAAAAAAGCCTATGAAAAAGGTACCAAGGGCATCTCATGGGGCCGCCCACTGACCCTGGGCCCTCGGGTAGTGCCCGAGTTTTCCAAATGGTCAGTCCGCCCCTGCTGCCTACTGTCATACCCTCCACACTCCTCTCCTGCACATACTGCCACTGTCATACCCTCCACACTCCTCTCCTACACATGCTGCCTACTATCATACCCTCCACACTCCTCTCCTACACATGCTGCCTACTGTAAAACCCTCCACACTCCTCTCCTGCACATACTGCCACTGACATACCCTCCACACTCCTCTCCTACACATGCTGCCACTGACATACCCTCCACACTCCTCTCCTACACATGCTGCCTACTGTAATACCCTCCACACTCCTCTCCTGCACATACTGCCACTGACATACCCTCCACACTCCTCTCCTGCACATGCTGCCTACTATCATACCCTCCACACTCCTCTCCTGCACATACTACCACTGACATACCCTCCACACTCCTCTCCTACACATGCTGCCTACTGTAATACCCTCCATACTCCTCTCCTGCACATACTGCCACTGACATACCCTCCACACTCCTCTCCTGCACATGCTGCCTACTATCATACCCTCCACACTCCTCTCCTGCACATGCTGCCTACTATCATACCCTCCACACTCCTCTCCTGCACATACCGATCACTGTCATACCCTCCACACTCCTCTCCTGCACATACTGCCACTGACATACCCTCCACACTCCTCTCCTGCACATGCTACCTACTATCATACCCTCCACACTCCTCTCCTGCACATACTGCCACTGACATACCCTCCACACTCCTCTCCTACACATGCTGCCTACTGTAATACCCTCCATACTCCTCTCCTGCACATACTGCCACTGACATACCCTCCACACTCCTCTCCTGCACATGCTGCCTACTATCATACCCTCCACACTCCTCTCCTCCTGCACATGCTGCCGATACTGTCATACCCTCCACACCCCTCTCCTGCACATACCAATCACTGTCATACCCTCCACACCCCTCTCCTGCATATACTGCATACTGTCATACCCTCCACACTCCTCTCCTGCATATACTGCCTAATGTTATACTCTTCTGCACATTCTATCCTCTGTCATATCTTCTGGCACTCCTTTCTTGCACACAGGAAAACTTAAATCCCTTTACTACAAAATTGTACACTTTGTTTTCTACTTGTTATTGACACTCTTGTATAAAAAAAAAAACACACTTCTTCAGCATTGTTTGTAATATCCCCAACATTGCTTATTTTGGAACAGGCGCGCTTTTGCTAGTCTGCCTTAAAAGGTCTTTACTGTGTCCTTCCATTGTGCTGAAATTCTCTGCGATTTGTTTATTACTGTTCAAGAACTGCATTTTATTGTAACCTCAGCCTGAACTTTGTACTGAACAGCAAGCTTCAGCAAATATGTGATATAACAGCGCACGTTCACTGAACACTACCACTATGGAGAACATTATTTGATATATTATTATTTATAACTACAGCATAGAATATATATAATGGATTATGTGTATTTGACTTGAGTCATACATGAAATAAAACAAAATAGAGGTATTGATTGTATGCCAACAGTCTAAGGTTTTGAAGTCCTTGGAAATTTCAGATCCCTGAAAAAATGTTTGATTTTTTTTTTAGGCACAATAATTTAAACTGGAGAAAAGGAAATGAGAACACAAGTTGTTGCCGACAGCATACTTCCATATTTCTTATCCAGCAAAGAGTGAGACCTGAGAGGTTGCTTTTGAGAACTACAATTTTTTTCCAGATCTACCCAAATAAGCTTCTAAAACATAGAGGACCTTTATCATAATTACTGAAAATCTGCATTTAAAAGAAATTGATTTTTTTTTTTTTTCTACAACATAGCAACAGTCTATGGCGATTCATAATCATTGAGTGCATATCAAGATAAGATGCATCAACTCAACAGCAAAGCATTCCTAAAAATGGTCTTATAAAGTTGAAAACTAAGGCAGACCATGGACAATGCGATTTTCTCTCCTGCAATGATAATCTCTCACTGACTGTGTTGATGGGGGAATCCCTCCTGCTAAGTTATTGTGTTGTCCCGGCAGGGGAGGCGCATGCGGAGGGGAGCTGTCCCTGCCGGGTGAACACAGTGATTACTGCTAGCGGCTATAGCCACTGGAAACAATTGAATGAAAAATCCTACAGGCTGGTTGTACCCAAGTCGTACAACAACTGAATTGGGTACAATCAGCCTGCCCAGGACCCTTAGCCTCTATAGTGTCTCCAAACTCCCACAGTGCTGCTCAATGTTCCACAGTACTCCTCAATCTTCTGCAAAGCCTCCAGTCCTTCATGTTGCCTCCAACCTCCAACAGTCTCCCATAATGCCACCCCAAATCACCCAGTGCCCCCCTCCAACCTCCTTCAGAAACCTCATCTCCTACAGGGCCATCAAGTCTGCTGCAAAGTCCCCTTAGCCCCCCACCCTCCCCCCACCTCCGCACACACAGTGACAACCAGCCCCATCCAGAGCCTTCTAGCATTTCATTGCATGTTTTACATTCCCATACTTTTCTGTATGAGTATAAAGTTAATTATTCGGGCATGCAAGGTTTTAGAGTTTATGGGGAAGAATTTATTAGGCCCTGGTCTCCAAAAGATTAAGAACCACTGTTCTGGGGCACCATGATCTCTACATACTGTATATAATGAGTATGTCAATTGTAACCACAGATCTTTGAGACTGTAAAAAGCTCTTATTCTAGAAGTGTATTCTAAAGCTGTTCAGAAAAGGGCCTGTGTCAATAGCTTTTGTTTGTATCAGTTGCGTTCTACATTACCATACCAAACTATGGGGTTGCAAAACCTACTTGGAGCAAGTTAAATGCAGGTCAGAAGGAGCTCCACTGTAGGTCTAATGCACCAGTCAGTAAATTTAGGAGCATCTCAAACTGATCTCAGCCCTTAATATGGTGGCTTGACATGCCGGCATGATGTGAACACCCTATGAAAAATGCTCAAGTACAGCATGCATAAAACAGGTTGAAAGTGTGCATTTATATCTAAGAGTATGGGAAGGAGACTGCTGCAGACATTCTTGTAGACTGTCCCCAAGCTGACTTGTCTCAGAGACATCAACTGGGCAATGTTATTTCATCTATCCAGTGACTTCCTCCCATGAGGCTTGCCAGCTTTCATCCCTTAGACATGAGACTAGGTCTGGACAATCAACTCATGTTAGCACGCACCTAGTGATGAAATGATAATTTCCCACCATGTCTTCACTAAAGGTGGACATAACTAAATATGTGAAGTCAACAAGACAAGGGATGGCATGCATCTCTCTACAAATGCTTTCAACTTATGCCATGGTCTAATTCCACAGGTCTGAGTCTGAAACTGATCACCAGCTGCTAAAAAGTGCCCAAAACCTTACTAAGAAATCAGACATTCTGTAGCTCAACAGAATCATAGAACAAACATTACTTAGTCATGAGGCAATCTGTACAGAATGCCATAATGATGTTACAAGGAACTTGTTGTACTACGGAGTAGGAAAATATGATCCGATCATGGCTGGGTTTTCATTCTGTGCAAATATAGGCTATTTTTACTGCACTGCCACCAATGATGGGGTCTTCGCAGCCACAAAGCGTGTAAACTTCAAATACAAAAAATAATAAGTGGTCATTATTTTATATGACCTGCTCCTCTGAAAGGTAAACCTTCAGTATTTGCTAGATGCTGGAGAGTTAAAGGATAACATTCACCTCTCAAGAAAAAATAATACACGCACACATTTTTGCATGTTCATTCAGAACCACAACCTGTGGCTAATGGTAGTTGTAGTTTATTCATTCACAGGAAACTGTGAATGAATGATAAGGTCATTTGGGCGGAGCCCTGGCAGCCGCACTGTTTCTAATTTGTGACAGCAGGTACGGGGAGAAGATCTCCCACCCACTATTACACCAAGGGGTGGTGAGGCGGACCTGGCGGCAGGAGCTGAAATGTGTTACATGTTCCATATTTAGAGTGGAACATGTAACATGTTCCAAAAGGTGAACTTAGCATTTAAACCACCCGAAGGTTTTTCTACTTCTTTTTCATGGGCTCTTTTGGTAAAGTCTCTGTATCTGAGGTCCTGAGTCCACACAGTATGAAGTGGGATACACAGGCATCTAATACTCCCAGAAATGTCAGATATATAGAAGCTGCAGGTGACTACCTCCCGAACAAAGCATTGTACCTTTTTTTTTTTTTGTATTTTACAGGTCTCTAATCCATGGTCAGTCCACTAAATGCAGTCATTCAGACAGCTGAATGCCTCACCTTTGGCACTTGTGCCTGGCTAGACTGTCCCCCTTTTTTTGTAATTGCCCAGTCAACAAAGGTTTATTTGTAAAGGATGACATACCTGTAACAAAAAAAGCACTATACTAAGCTTTCTGGCATCCCATTTGTATAGATGTCACCATATTTTGCTGCTGGCTGGTTGTTACTGCTGCTAATTCATACTTTTGGGTGTGTGGAATATCTGCTCCTCTGCTCTGATTTTTTGCATTGCAGGACATACAAACCAGCAGCAGGAACCAATGCACATGGTGGAGGTATTTGACTCCTCTGACTGGTCGAATACCTGCATCGGCGGGCAAGCAGCAAAATAAAAGAGCCAATGGAAAGGGAAGTATAGATTCTCTTTTATTATAGGTAATTATTTCCAACATTTCAATGCATTATTTGCATTCCCATACTCTTTTTGTATGAGTATAACAAACTTAATTATTTTACTGTTGAGGCATGCAAGTTGTTGGAAAAATGTACAGGGTCTTGGTCTCCAAAAGGTTGATAACCACTGATCTCTACATACTGTATATAATGAGTATGTCAGTTGTAACCACAGATCTTTGAGACTGCACAATATTATTATATTTTTATGCCCTTATTATATGAGTGTATTATAAAGCTGTCCAGAGACCAAGGCTGGCCATACACTATACAATTTTCTGTACAATTTCTGTCCAATTTCCTTTAGATTTACCTTCAACTATGTAGTGCAAGGGCCTGCCTAATTGGATACAATTGAAAGTGTTGTTTAGATTTGAGCCCCTATTATATAGTTTTTGGTAAATCTAAAGCAAAATTCTCAAGAAAATTGTATAATGTATACCTTAGTCCCGCAGGCTGCCTGAAAAAAGAAAACGAACCATCAATGGCCAGCTTCAGCCCCTTGTGTCCCGTAGAAAATGTAAAGGATTTCTGACAAATCTGTTGGGGTGTACTTATTTATTCTGAGTACTGTATATGTGTGTGTGTGTATATATATATATATATATATATATATACACACACACACACACATATACAGTACTCAGAATAAATAAGTACACCCCAACAGATTTGTCAGAAATCCTTTACATTTTCTACGGGACACTATACTACAAAATACTTCCACAAATGTGGGCCATTGATTGCAAACAAGAATTGTTAATTTACATACACAAAAAAGTATTTCTCCTAACACCCCAATGAAAGACTTAGGAGCACAGCTAAATTTTAGACAAGAAAATCTTGCTTAACAAGAATTCAACTACAGTGAGTCTAATTATTCATTAAACAGGTGACCAGCAGAAAGATGATTATAAAAGGGTGTTACTTACAAAGAAAACCCCTTCCCATTTCATGCTGTCAGCAATGGCACCACATGGAAGAGAAATGTCACAAGGCCAGAGAAAGAAAATAATTTCTTTACACAAGAAAGGTGAAGGCTACAAGTAGATCAGCAAAGTTTTCATTATCAGTCAGAATTCTGTATCTAAAGGGACACAAACATTTAACAAGGATGGAACTGCAACCATCTCACAGAGACATCCAGGCCGCCCACGGAAGTTAACACCTCAACAGGGGCATCTTCTGATGAGAAGGGTTGAATTAAATCACCATGCAAGTTCACTGCAGTTAACTAAAGAGGTAGAAAACCAAACTGGGGTGATTGTTTCCCATGACACAATATAGCATACACTGCAGAGGAATGGCATGCATGGGTGTTGTCCATGAAGGAAGCCTTTCCTAAAGCCTATGCACAAAAAAGCCCACCTTGAATTTGCCAGGGCCCATGGTGAAAAAGAAGAGGACTACTGGGACTCTGTACTCTGGAGTGATGAGATCAA